ATATATTAAGAATTATTAACATTTCAATCCCATTAAAACGTTAAACATTATCAACCAAAACTACAAATTATTATGATATTAAAATAAATACAAAAAAATAAAATACTGTCTAACTATAATTCTGTATATTGAAATGCACTTTTAAKATATAATCGGTAGAAATGTCAAATTGCTATCCGATTATTATTTTCTTAATAATTACCAAAACAAATTATTTTAAAAAATTATTATGAAAATGTTATTTTTCGTCTTTTTATGTCCACAAATAAGGTTATAATATTATACTATGACGTCTATATTATGAATATTATATAAAGCCTACGATGTATGTTTTTCACACGTGATTATTGTGACACTTCTACAGTCACTTATTTTTGTAAATATGCGCGTTGATTAAAATAATTATTTCTGTTCCAAACGTTCCATCGTTAAAACTTTGTATATTACATTTTATATCTATATAGTATTTATGTTATTGTAATATTTTTTTAATTTAGTAAATTACTCTATACTAGAAGATAAATTGTATAATATATTTTACAGCATTGTGACTATCGAATACCTACCGATAACTGTTTGAAAATTAAACAAGAATAAGTTTATCCATTGTATCTATTCTAAAAATAACCATAATAATTAATGATGAAAGTTAAAGTCCAAATTATTCAGCCTTGCTCAAACTGCTCAGACAACCATCTCCTAAACAAATACAATGCATCTGACGAATTTATGCTTGTATATTTATACTCAGGTCTTAAACTATTACCATTGTTCAATGTAGTATTATTTAACTGATAATGTCTGTATTTATTGTAGGTATATAAATGTTTATTGTTTAGGTACTTACATATTTTATATTGTCGGATACAATACAATTGTATTAGTATATAGATCTTCTACTAACTAATATAGGCACTTTTAAAAACATTTTTGTGAAGTTTTAAATAATATCTACACGAAATTTATCAGTTTGCACATAATAATAATTTTTTTTCTCATAAGACATAAAGTGAAAAAAAAATTATCAACATGGTAATAACTAAATTATGAATTGGTTTACAATTGTATATTATTTTACTTTTTTTGTACTTTTGGTATTGTTTTTAGTGGATTTTAAATTGTAATAGTTTCAATTTTTTTACTATAAACAAATTGTTTTTTTGTAAAAAAAAAATAGGTTCGTATTGTTTTAACAGAAATTTAACTTTCTTATTAAATATTCATAATTATCATCAATCTTGTCAATCTACTTTAGTTAAATGATTATTTGCTTTGTATTAAGTGTTTATAATTAAGTTATAAGATTAATTTTAAATTATTTTAATAGGTATCTAATAAATTCAGAATTATCAAAAAAATCACGTTTTAATTGTAAATGTATATTTTTTATTTAGTACTATTTAAATTAAAAATTAGTTTTGCATATTTTTATAATTTTTACTTCATTTTATAGCATATTGAGATACTTTTTAGTGTGTACGAATCCGTGCTCACACACGTAACACACCTCAATTAAGTGATCGTTTAAGTACCAGGGCCATAGACCATAGCTTAATTGAAGTAAAACGTGGTTGCAGTTTATAATCAGTATAATATCAGTGCCTAATCCTAATGTCATTTAATTTTTACTTTTATAAAATTATTTGTAGCTAAATTTACCAAAAAGCAATTTGATTACGTATATGTCGGCTGTGTCAACCATGCAAAACAATCTAAATAATTACRATATCCTTATCAAGCTCTTAAGGAATCCAAAATGGGGTTTCCGCAAAAATCCAATAAAAAAAATCTAAACATTCCAATCTTATTATCCTACTATATGTGACATAATGAGATGAGTTGTAACCCACACTATCCATTCCAAGCAAATCGTAATAGAATATTGGTCGGTCGCTACCTATATAATCAGTCTTTACTCCAATGTAAGTACCGCACTTAGCAACAAGAACTATGCCTGAAAATTCTTCTCATCGACTCAATGTGTAATAGTACCACATTGTCACGACCTATTATAGTAAAATTTAATAGACGGAAAGTTAACATATAGAACAAAAATATGCTAATTTAGATTTATTATACAATATATGTAATTTATTATTTTCTCTCTGTAAGCCCATGTTGCCGGGGGTATAAAGAAAAAAAATATGCTTATCATCATACCAAAAACAATTTTTAGTTCGTGTATAACAACGTAAAAAATAAATAATAATAAAAATTTGTTTATTTTAACATTATATGTGACATAATAAGAGTACGATTGCAATTTAGAAATAAGTATAATAATTGGATAAACAGTATTTAATTATATATTATATTAAACTATTAAAGTGATCATAGTTATTATTGATTCATAAACCAATTACGACTAATTCAATAAAATCATTACTTATATAATAATATTATAATAGTTATTCTGTTAAAAATCATAATATTTTTACCTATTGAAAATAATTCGAACGCGGAAAAACTGTATAAACTATAAAGTATCGAGCATTCATGCAGTTGTTCAAGTTATTATTWTATTATAATTAATGGTAACAGTTACATGTTTTTGTAATAACTTTTTACTCATTTAGTTGTATTAAATATAGGTAGGTATAAGTACACGATATTATAAGAAAAATAAGAAAATAAAATTAATAATTGAACGTAACTGTTTCATGTTTGTATGTAATATACAATAATGAAAGTTCAAAGTATTATTAAATAATAAATATTCATTCTAGATGGTTGTTTGAATGACGTCGAAACCAGATGTGTTAAAAGATGGAATTCGACGGAAACCGTCATAGTACATAAGTGTGTAAAGAAAATGAAATCAATAAAAATCTTAGTTAAATCTAATTKCGGGTAAGAACCAAAAGCGAATATGGATAATATTATATAATTTACAACCTAAAAAATATCTCGAAAAAGAGTCGAATTCTCTCAAATGGCTCATTAAAGGCATGTTTGCTCCAGTGGAGATGACGTATTTGAACCATTTCCGACGTGCCATCATTAAATATAATCGTATCTCAAAAGTTTTTTTTTCATTGAAAAGAAACTAAACACAAACTTTTATCATTTGTCAATATACACAGTATTCGGAGGCAGACGAGACTTCTATGCCTATAGAAAAAATTGTCGATTCTGCCGGGTTGGTTGGTTATGGTTTTTTTCTCAACATTTCGTTGCGTGTAAACGCAGAGTTACGCAATAGTTATCACTTTTGTTTTCTATCGTTTTCTTTTCCCATTATACCGTCTCATCGGGTTTCCGATTTCGTTTGGCTTTTAATATGCGTTGACGTGCACAATATTATACGCCTGCGATGCGTGAAGGTATAATTTTTAGGTATTAGGTACGAATGTACCTACAACTGAGTACTCGAATCTTGCAGCAAATGGCTCCCGCGTATCGTAAAACCRCCTTGATCAGACGGTGTTGGATTTAGATATTTTGTAATCCGACCAAGATCCGAAAGAAATAGATAGGTACAACAAAATTATAATTTATTATTATATACCTAAAAGAATTTTCGATCAATCCACATTTGGGCCAATGCGACGACCATATTTTTTTTATTAGCTGGACGCCCCGTAACACACCAAATTCGAAATATTTTTTTT